GATTTAGAAGCATTTTTAATTTTTTAATAAACATGGTATTATTTGCAATGTGTACGTAACAAGTTGGGCCGGTGCACATAAAATTTTTATTTTCTTAATATCAACTCGTAACTCTATTTTCTGTTCCTTTCCCTTTGGAACTTTTATTTCAACCAATAGCACTGTAAAAAAATTAAACCAAAAATAAATTTAATTTAGGAAATAATTAAATATTTTGTTGATTTATATTTTAATTCATACAAATTTCAAACGCATTCTATTCAGACGGAATTTTCATTGATCATGCGTTTTGCTTACATGAATTTTTTGTTACTCAAGTATGGCTTGATTATTCTAAAGTTAGCGAATAATTAATTACAAGACATTATTTTTACTTCAATATTGAATGAGATGACGGTTTTGATAGATGGCTGATATTAATACTAGCGCTTCTACATTGTTGTGTCCTTATTTATAATTATTGAGTTTTATAGAGATTAATATTTAAGCCAGTGCATCACTATTTCCTGTAAATGATGATGGAGCTTGAAATAATAATTTAATCCAGTCCTGCTAACGTACGTCCACAAATATGCATAGCTAATTGATGTATGAACCCATAATTGATTAGAACTATAAAAGAAGTAATAATCATATCTGGATTCAGCTTTAATCTATGTTAAACGCTTCGTACAGACTGGTATTTGATTCTGTAGATGTGTGAAATTGAAACATGATTTATGAGTCGTTGTTTATGAATCGAATTCATTCATTCTTGTAGTCCTTCGTTTTGATATGAAGCTTTAAAGTCGTCAAAGATTTTTTTATGAAGTCAGTTGTGATGTAACATCATCATGATGATGGCAAAGAACATGTACGTTTCCTAACATCGCTTAACACATTGAGATTGTAATGCCATCTGCTTGGTAACATAAAACATGTACGATTTCATAATTTGGAATGTTATTTATTTATCGCACTTTTTAGCTTCCACATTAAACGCTTGAAAGTACACATTTGTTTAAGGTAAATTTTGTCATGATATTTTCATCTTTTTAAAAATTGGATAGACTTGTATGGCTGTTGGCCTCATGTGGGACTCACTTTGTTCGCTTTTCAAAATCTTTCTTGAAAAATGTTGTCGTTATTTTTATTCCTTTCTTAACTCTAACCCTAACCATTTCTTTTTATCAATTTGACAATTTCAACTCAAAAAAAACAATTTTGCTACTCAATTTATATTTACATTTAAAACTCTTCATCTCAATATGTTAAACGATTCAACATTATTAAAATTGACTATCTCTATGAAACTTGGCTACAAGTAGTTATTCACGCGGGGAGATTATTTTTATTCTTATTTTTAAAGTCACTTTTTAATCAATAGATTCTTCATTTATATCAAGGAATTAAAACATACATTTTAGGTTATGATTGTTTGAGATGATTTTGTCACTTTTTACGTTCATTGTAAGATTTCGTATCGACTTTCCAAAAGCTTTTATTTGATCAATAAGTTTCTCTACAAATCGTTATATCATCTAGAATTCATTTGACTTAGATGTCGGTTTGAAAACTGCAAAGATTAAAAAAAAATAAAGTTGACAAATAATTAAATGAAGAATTCTTTTTTAAAAACTCTGTTGACGATGTTCTATTTTTAAAATGTGGTTTTGTCGAACATCAATGGTTGAGATATTAAATGTGGTTAAGTGGCATTATTTAAAAATGTGCTGTCCAAGGGATCACTCAATTTCATAATTTTTGTGCTGAAAGAATTAATTAAATTTGAACGTTTTAGAGCGTTTCATTTTAAATTTGATATATATTTTGTACTAAATATTTTAAACAAAAAAGTTGAAAGTTTTTTCAATTTAATGTGAAGTATTTTTAAATGAATGACATTACACTTTTTATTTGTAATTATTTTTTATAAAAACAATAAAAAACTTCAAGCAATTCAATTTTGGAGCAGCGATCACGAAGCAACTGCAACTCATCATTCAATCTTCCACAGATGACATTAGGTGCTGTTTGCCTTGGTAAATTACATTAGCGAAGACATTTTGGCTCAATAGTTTTATTGTTTCAGCGTTGTCTTTTGGTTTATTATAATTTTCAATTTTTGTGTGGATTTTGATTTTTTTTCAGATAAAAATTTATTCAATAAAATATTTTGCTTATATGAAGTGAAAGTTCCCCTTTTTTATTGTTTATATATTGTATCTATCTTCGTTTGTTTGATCGTTTATTTTATATCTATCTTCTTTAGCGACTCTTCAAACAAAAACTATCATGTGTCGACACATCTTTTTATGTTCTTTATCATGCTGCTCTGAAGTAAGCGGAACTGCTTACATATTAGTTCTATATTAACACTTTCGTGCCACAAAAGCTCTGCTGTCCACACGACACGAGGCAAATACACACATCTGTTTGCACGTGCAAACGCCGTATCATACGCGCTGGGTGGATGACAGTCTTCGAGATTCGGACGGACACCAGTCATCACGCAACTTCACAAACTCGCCGTTTCTTTACAATGTTGGATCATTAATGAGTAGATTAATAAATTCAATTGCTTTTTTGTTGTTCAAATTGTCCAATTTTTTTGGTTTTATGTTCTCTGCGTCGATATCTCGTTTTGTTTCTAATTTGCTTGTCGCCGATAGTCACTTTAAATTAATTTGCCAATAACATATAATAGTAAACCTTAGTAATAGTTTTGCAGTTTAATATCAATTTGGTTTCAACAAACAGTTATTTCAATATTTGTGCTCAAGTCTCCTAATTGGACTCGTTTGGAACTTTTCAGTTTCCTACCACCATTCAACAACATTAATATTTTCAACATCTTGAAACTTGGTTCTGTTCGTTTCGTATACAATAACCTAATATTGTAAAATTGTAGAACCAACAAAAGTCGTCGTCTGAAGAGCCTGAAATGTGGCCTCTTGAATTTGCAGTCAGCCGTAAACAAATCGTTTCTTCAAAATAATATCGTTTTAGATGAGGAATTTCGTATCTTCGTCATCAAAGAAACTAGATACCCTCCGATGATTTCAACGCTATTTTGAACAATTTACTATTCCCAGGATATTCTACCTCACAATTTCATCAAGGTACAATCAAGAGAAACGTCACAGGGTCTTTTCAATTTTTTATAATAATCAATTGATGGCAGTAACTATCCCATAAACACAAAAAAATAGTAAGCATGACTACAAATTCGTCACCTATTCATCAACATTTATCAAATTTCTTCCATTTACAGACCACTTGGTCAGTTAACAACAATTTTTATCAGTCAGTTCATCGGACATAATGGTTTCATCATCAGTTCCATTTATGTAGGGTCATTCATGCGCCGCAGGTCACCTCATGCACGTCGACCAACAACTCGCAACATTGATCAACTGCCTCGAGTTAACTCAATATGACAACTCGCCAACACACTCTCATGCAACATCCTCGAACTCATCCTCACACACAATGATCGCAACATCGTCAATAATATTGTTGTCAGAGACTCCATTGTTTCCTCCAACCGTCGCTCACAGTCGTCGTTCTTATCGTCAACTTAACTCATCAGCATTGAAACAAAACTTAATTCAAGTCCTCGATGAGCTCCTTCTTATGATCTCGACATCGATGCCTTCCCTTCAACAATATTTGCCTCAATCACAAATTATTTGACGAGCATGCTCCGATAAAATGTACATCGGTTCATCATTTGCGTCATAACCTCCTGCCCACTCACTCTTGACCTTTTTATTTTGCTTGCAACTTCTTTAGCCGATCATTTAAAAATCTAAAACTCATAACATTCACCAATTTATTATCTCTTTAATTGCCTCCTCAAACACATCTCCATTTCTACGCCCGATCTTATCCTGGCACCACCTTCTTATCTTTTTCAGTTGTCTTGGACTCTGAAGTTTTAATATTTATACTTTCATCCCATAATAAGACTTTTCGACCCGAACTTTACACCGTTATACGTGACTGATCATGAAAATTTGCATCTTTATGTACGGACGGCGTATTTTCAAAATTTACCATCCTCTCCAACTTTCGAACTGAGTCGTAAGCTTGGACAATAAAATGAAATAATAATAGCAAAAAAAAAACTTCACGTTATACATTACTATTTGAGTTAATAAAAAACACTTGAATGTGTTATCTTTGATTGCATTCAATTTGAGTTTTGATCGTTTTCATTATATGACATAAACATAAAAAACGGGGATGAAAATAAAAAATGTTATACCGTGTGAAGGAAAATTTAATTTTGTTGAAGGTTAAAGTGTCGCAATTAATATTAGTTGCAGTGCCTTATATTATGGCCAGCGTATAAAACATTAATAATATGAGTTACTGAAGAATTGCTGCGGAAATTCAACAAAAATTTGGCGCATGCTACTAATTCTTTATAAAATATCGTTACTAACAACGTGCACAGACCTACTTTAGAGTTCAAAAACCCGAACGCAGAAAAATAAACAAATCGAGAATTCAAAAAATGCATGATGCTTGCGTACATACGGCAAAACATGATAAACAACTGACGCTTTGACACTGATGGAAGGAGTGTGGAAGCAAACAGAAGCACAACGCACGAACGCCCACTTGTTTGTTTGCCACGTCTCAACAACTGCACACGAATGTAAATTCTTAAGCGTTTTTTGCACTTCAAATTTTCCGATGGGCTTAAAAAGTTAATGCGTATATAAATTATACATAAAGCTTCAGAGCTATTCTTGGCTCTTCTTAAAATTTTTCAATCAATTGTTGCACTTTTTAAGCAAACATTTTTACGGCCTGAAAGAGAAAATAAATTTTTATTTTTTCCCTGTTTGTGTTCAAATGCGTTCTCAAAAATAGATTTTTGTTAAAAATGTTTGTGAAAAACCAATATTAAAAAGTGTACAGAATATATCAACAATGAAACAATGACTAACAAATTTCAAAACTGCGAATAAAACAATTTTTTTCAAGAAATCCGATCAGGTAGCATTCAAATGATCATCATCTACCTGCTTCTTCTCTTCATCACCACTGAGACTTTTCTTGCTGTTTGTAGCAGGTGGGTGGGTGACTTGCGCTTATGATGATTCTAATGATGGTGATAGTTTAATGACGTGACATAGGGTTATTTGTGTAGATGATGATGTTTGCGAATTCTCTAAAAATTATTTAATTAAGTAATGATTCAAAATTTGGAAAAATGAAACAAACATCTAGATATTTTTCAAATAATATTGTAACTATTAAAACTGGTATGTATTAGGTTGTAACACTTTTTAAAATATTTGTATTGCATAGCTTATTAACAAACATTCCATTCAATTTAATTTTTTTGAAGATTTGTAATAAATTTGTTTGATAAATCTAAAAAAATTAAACGTTCAGATTGACTGAATTCTACCGTAGCAACAAAAAATCGAAGTTTATGGAGAATTTAATTGAAGACTTCCTCAGGTTCATCAAGCAAGTCGATCATTTTGGTGACAGCACCAACCTGAACGCCAACAAAGACGATGACATCAACAACAGCAGCAACTCCGAAAGCACCAACAACGGAAATTTTACACACAACACCACTAATAACAACAACGCCAACAACACACAATCCAGAAATGATGATAACATTATAAATGATGATGAATCAGGCGCCACACACAAACCGGCAAAAGCATCCAGATACGAAACGAAGTCAAATGAAATGAGCAACCAAAACCTCGTTAGCTGCGATATTAATTCTAGCGGTGAGAATAATAGTGGTGGCGGTGATGATGACGATGATGGTGGTGATAATTGTTGGAAAGTCCCCATTATAATCAAAAATTAAGTTTGCTGAGTGCAGTCATGCGTTGGTTTTGAGCACGGCAAGAAGCAACTGTTCGTAGCCAGTCAATTACTCAAACTAAATGATTGTTTTTTAATTGAATTTTAAATTGTTTTGAAACAAATGTTTCGAAACAGTTGATTACATGAAAATGAAAGTTTTAAAATATTAATTTGTTAATATCATATTTTAGTGATAGTTCTGACGTATCAATGTTTATCTCTATGCGTGTAATGTAATAATATAATTGCTGAAATGTAAGAATGTAATAGTTGAATTCATGGATGGAAACCTGGGGCATGCGATGAAAAAGTTTTATGACTGTTGTTGTTTAATAATTAACATTTGTACGAACGTTATGGATGAACAAAATGATTTTGAAAATGAATTGTAATAACAAAACTAAGGAAATAATTGGATTAAAAGTTGTACGGCTTGAGGCATGCAAATATTGCACTTGAAAAAATTTACAAACATGCCAACAGGAACAACAACAATAATTAGCAACTATTATCAACTACTAATAAATGTTTTTTAGTGTAATTTTTAGAAAAATTAGCAATCAGTGATAATGAGAAATTTATTGAAATAATTAATCAATCCAAAAATTAGACAACAGTGGCGGATCCACGGAAGATCCAAGAATGCATCTCTCCAACAAAACATAAAAAAATGTTTAAAAATCTATCATTATTTTTACGTCATAATTCAAAAATACGATTTCAATACAATTCTTCCAGAAATTATGAATCTGCATGCAACGTATGTCCGTTTAGTGGAATGATTTGACATGCGAAGTTCTGCTGTTTGAAGTTTTTGACTCATTCAGTTCCATAATGTTTAGACTTCCCGCACAAAATTTTTGTTATCAATAATTTATGCGACCAAGAAGACATTCAAAAATTTTTATCTCATTCAAAAGTGTGGAAGGATTGTAAAGCATAATCACGTATAAAACTTTTTTTTATATAATAATAAATATAGATTTGAAATGAGTAAAACACTTGAAAAAGATTCAACAAATTATTATTTTTATAAAAATGTAATATAAATTTTTTTTATAGCCATACTGCACAACATTGCAATGGTTTAGAAAGTGTAAAGCTGGTTGTTTCAGATTCTTAAAACAGCAAAACATCAACAAAATTTTTATCAATAGGGACATCATCATTTTTTGTTTTTGGTCATGTAAGCTATCACAAATATTACTACATTATTTTTATCGTTTTACTGATGCCAGCCAAAGCAAAATCATAGAAAAAATTTTATTTCTGCAAAATAAATTCCTTTTTTTAAAACAGAACTTGTTCATCTTGCAGTCATCGATCGTTGCAAAAACAGCTCCAATTCACGTAACTGAAGAAACACCATTTAATAAAAATGATCCAGCTAACAATCGTCCATCATAAAAATTGTCCCCTCCTATCTAATTTACTCGAACTTATACTTTGCAACCAATCTAGTAACCAACTTTCTAAAACAACTTCCCAAAATTTCGATCCGCTTAACGTTACCACAACTTGACTGAAATTGCATTACTATACAACGCAGACAATGTTTACAATAAAAAGGTCAAAATTTACTAATTTAGCAATCTAATTTAGACAAAATTCATTATCGACTGTTTTAACCATAAATTGTCATTGAGTTCTTTTATTTCCAGAACGTGTGTTGTGTTGATAATCTTGCTCTACTCCTTTTTTATTCCTTTTTAGATGTCTACACCAATTTTTATAAGCTTGATATTTTATCTTTTCTGCTAACTTGATTGGTGCCAAAATCCCGCTGGGTCCTACCCTTGCCTCTATTTTCCCCTACATTTCCATTCAGCAACATTATGTTCCATAAACTTTCATGTTTCAGTAATCAATTTCTATAACTTTTATTTTTCATTTACAGAGCTTTTATTTTCACTAGATTTAATTCACATTTTTAAATTTAATATAAAACATTAAAAAAAAAAATATTCTGTCATTGTCATGTTTCAATTTTCATCCTTTCATATTCAAGGCATTCATTCTCACTAGATTTAAATAACTTTTCAAAATTATCAAAAACCGTGAAAAATTAAATAAAAAAAATTATTTATAAAATTTGTTTTTAAATTTTGTAAAAAACCTAAAATTTCAACATTTAAAAACATTTAAGTTTTTTTTATAAAACGTAAAAAACCTAGATTCTTTCAAAATTGGTTTTAAGCAAATGTTCTACCTTTCCATATCAATATTCATATTTCTGCAATTTCGCGTAACATTCTGCTGTTTTAATCATTTAAAATAAAACTGCCAAAATCATTCTTAACAAATTTACTTGTTCAAATGCTGCATTGGTCAAATTGCATTTCTAACTTCTAACCTCCTATTAATAAACAGCGTATCAATATAACCACACCAATACGCCGGATCATTTCCGCCAAATTTCCTATGAATTCCTGTTAAATACCTCTCCACTCAGATATATATTTGTAGCGCGCGCACACACACACACACACACCACACACACACACACTCGTTATTGGCGCGCGCGTGTGTGTTTATTTATTAATAATGTATCATTATAATCAGTTTTTTAAGACATTCGGCTATCGAGAAGATAACGAAGTGAGGTGGCTTCACTTGTTCCTCTTATCCATGCTAACTTTTTCCACCACTTGTTTTTTGTCCTTAAAAACAAAGAACTAAGTTTAAACTTTTCCAAGTTTGCTTTTATCTGCTATAGTTTTTCTGTTTGTTAAATATCCAAGACCTTACACTTTTTTTTGAAACGTCTGAACCATCTTCATCTCCTTATTAAAACAATTTCATACTCAATGTCCTAATATTTCTTATCACGCCATTTTTTATAAACTCGGTTTGTCTTATATGCTTTTTTTCAAAATTTGCCGCCCTGCTTTTACCGACTCATTTGAACAAATCGCAGTAGGAGCCCAAGTTTCACCTTCAAACAGCAAGCTAATTTTCACTTATGCACACAAACTGTAATCTACAAATGCTTACAGAGCATTGAAAGCCATCTCATCCTTTCAAAATTTTTACGACGTTCTAAAAGACCATAATTAATGCAGTGGTGACCGGCTTGATAATATAGATACATATATTTTATTTATATATAAACATACGTAATAAATAAATAAATGACGAGGACAACATATATATATATGCATAAATATATATATATATAACTATACTTTCTTCATATATATATATATATATATATATATATATATATATATATATATATATATATTGGTAACAGAGTATTGTTAACGCAACATTTCAAAAATTCATCACTACTTTCAACATTGTTCAACTTTTTCATATTTCTTTTTAATTTATTAATTTCCGAGAAATTAGGCATTTTATTGTTTTTTTAAAAAATTTTTATTAAATAAATTTGCAAATAGCTATTTCGAGTTATAAATAACTCATCTTCAGTGCATTATATATAAGGTATGTAAGATATTTGATATAAAGGAACAAGTAATTATTAATTTATATAAATTATTTAATTAAAACAGAAAACCAATATAGTAAATTTAATAACTATAAACAATATAAAACGCGATTTTTAAAATTAAAAAAAATTTTTTTTTTAATGGCAAGATTGTTTATATTATGGTTGTTAAGGTAAATATTAACGCTCAGCCGAGAAACGCGAATTTATTTAATTAACTACATATTATTAATATTATTTTGACAATATTTAAAAACATTATTATTATTATTGTTAACGTTATTATTATCATCGCTGTGGTTCTTCTTGCTTCTTGTGATGATGTTCCATTTGCAAGTGATATTTGCGCTGTGGGTTGTGGCGTTGGTATCTACAGTGTTGTTGTTGTTATTGTTGATGCTGTTGTTGGTGTTGTTGTTGTTGGTGTTGTTGATGTTGTTGTTAGGGTTGTCACTATTGGTATGTTTGTTCTTTACATCATCAATATTGTTGGTGATAACATTGTTATAATTATTGCTGTTGTCGTAATTGTTGTTGTTATAATTATAATGATTGTTGTTTTTATTTAGTAGCTGAAAATAGCTCAAAATAGCTGAATCAATTTTCATACAAAACAAAAATCCCTCCATGAAC